AAGGCACGAGCTTCACACGGAGAAACAAAAGAGACCCCAACGTCTCTGTGTCCCGTTAGGACCTCGCCCCCAATGCCTAAGCACTAGGAAAATTGGTCGTTTTTAATACCTGTACCACGATCTCGCTCGCCTCCATGTACCCTTGACTTCTATTTGCGGTCCTAGCATGACCGGCCCAGCAAAGAATGCAAGTGAGGTGCCCTGTCAAAGCAGCTCCTCCGCAACAATGGCCCCATGACGAAAAATAAGCCGCAACGGCAAAGACAGTTGCCTAGCAAAACAAAGTAACATTCCACGCGGGAAGGGTTGCACCACACCCGACGTGGCAGCAGCAGCAACACGCCCCCCTCGTACTGTGAAGGGAGGGGGATGAAGCCCGTACTGCAGCGTCATGTGCGTTTACGGAGAGGCGGAGTACGGAAGCGAGAGCATCCGTGTGAATCAGACGCGGGAAGGAAGGCTACGGCACCTCAGCGGATGACGCTTAACAGCATTCGCGCATTACCAACGAGTGGTTTCGGACAGGCGTGGAGAACCGCGGTGTACACGTACAGGCACAGCCCCTCACTGCCCGGAAGATGTTTATTGTCTATGCATCATGGACGCCATCGGCCCCACTTCCCAGCGACGCACCCCACCCCGCTCAGCACCCTCACCCACACACAGCAAACCCCCATGCCCACAACGCCACACAACCAACCGCGGAAAGGAGGAGGGAAAGACGTACTCCGAGGAGGACTCAGGCTGGCCCCATCACCGCGCCTTCCTCTCACCGTTCAGATTTCAAGGACTTGGAAAGTATATTCTCATCGATACTTGTGCTCGGATATATGCTTGTTCTCGTTGATCATCATAACGGATCTGCTGAAGCACCTCCCTCTCCTCCTCCCGTGACCACTTGCCCACACACACGGACCAAACACACAATCACAACACCAGGGTGGGTCGCACGCAGCCTCAGATTTTTATATGAATTGCAGTGTTTGGACTTCATGCGCTCCCCACTGAGATGAAGAGTGCCTCCGATTATTGGTCGAATAAGTTTCATCACCGCTGCTATGCGACGCTACCCTCTCCCCACATCTCTCTACACACCAACGAGGCACTCTGTGCGGGTGAACCTCGCACCTCGCCAATGGCGACGGAGAGGGCGAAACGACAAGACGGCGGTATCCGCTTCCAGCCAGGCACCACTGTTGAGCTCCGCCGGGGATCCTCTCGCACAGTTCATATTCCGCATGCTAGGCTTTTCCCTTGGGTCGCATAAGTATAACTAAAACGAAGCAGGCTCC